TTCCATCTATTCTCGGTCCATTCTGTCGACTTCCTCATATATCAGATGTCATCCACTCTCTTTGAAAATCATCAAAGCACACTCGAGACAATTCAACGAAGAGAAACCAAACGACACGAGAAAATTAAACTTCCAAATTCAATTATGATTAAAAGGTGTTCGTTTTTCTAAGATGCTTGATAGGTCGTCTTATGCTATGTTGTGTTTGCTCGCTTTTACCTAATGAGCTTATGCGTTTTGGTAAATGTCCATTTCGTGTGTTTCCTTTTTATTCTTTCTTTCATTTTTTAGCTTTTTTCTTTGCATTTTATTTATTTATCTATTCATGTGTTTATTTATGGGTTATTATAATTTTTGTTCATTATTTTCATTATTTTTCGGTCTCCATAAGCTCTTTGTGTGTATCTTCGTTAAAGAATATGATTGTAATAGTAAATAATGATAGTAAATAATATGTTGATATTAATAATAAAAATAGTAATAATAATAATAATAATGATAATAATGATAATGATAATAATAATAATGATGATAATAATGATACTGATAACAGAAATGATTATGGTAACAATAGAAAAAAATATTGATAACGATGACAATAACAGCAACAATGATAATGATAGTAATAATGATAAAGAAAAAGGAAAAATGTGTGAATAGATTTACCGATAATCGCCGACTTTTTTTGTTTTGTTTTGTTTTTCAGATTTTGTAGGATTAGGTGCCTATTTATATATAACTTATCATAATAGGATGATTACATATATATTTATCTCTCTTTGTTTGCCTCTGATTTACAACATTTGAGTTTATCATTCTCTATATATCTGTATTTTTACCTATTTACTTTTTTTAAAATCTATTTATGCACCTTTCTGTTTATCGTTTAGCCATGTTTATCTTTATATTTGTTTGTCTGTATCTGTCTCTCAGTCTCTCAGCCCCTCTCTCTCTCTCTCTCTCTCTCTCTCTCTCTCTCTCTCTCTCTCTCTCTCTCTCTCTCTCTCTCTCTCTCTCTCTCTCTCTCTCTCTCGCTCTCTCTCTCTCTCTCTCTCTCTCTCTCTCGCTCTCTCTCTCTCTCTATCTAATTGATTATCTATGTTTCAATTATGTATCAGTCTATCTCTCTCTCTCTCTGTTTGTC